AGTTCTCATTTGAATATGCTTTACATATTATATTTATGTATTTTAATTTTAGATAATAGGTTTTTTAAAACATTTATTTTAAAACTTAAGTTTATATTTTTATTAATAGTATGTTTTATATTTTTTTGATTTTTTTTGCATTTTTTTGCATTTCTTTTGAATTTTTAGCTTTTTTTTTAAATTGTGCTCCTTGCCTCAAAAAGGCGTGTGCCTCGCCTTGCGCTTTTAAAACACTGAGCTTAACAAGGGAGATTGGTGTGAGGTTTAATTGGGCAAGAAGATCAGCAAATGGTATGGCTGATGCTTTAGCTAAGCAAGGAGTCAATAGGCAGGAGTTGTTTTGGGCCTGTATATGAGACAGTTTTTGTCAAAGGGTTCTCCATCCAGCCCTTGGATGGTGGCAGTTATAATCTTTATCCATTATTTTTAATAAAAGTTACTATTTCCCATCAAAAAAAATCCAGCAACACCCCATTCATAAGGATTGAAAAAGATACTGTCAAAACACATGCATACATCCAACTCCTCCACTTTTCTCCAAATCCTATCAATCTTTGCACCTCTTCCAAGAAGCCCCGCTCCACATGATTATATGCTTTTTCTATATCCAACTTACACACCAAACCAGCCCTTCCATTCCTTAGCCTCAAATCAATGCATTGACTAACCACCAACACCCCATCTAGAATTTGTCTTCCTTCCACGAATGCCATATGAGTCTCTCCCACCACCTCATGAATCACTCCCCTAAGCCGCCTTGACAATACCTAGGCAAAGAGTTTATATGGACTGTAGATTAAACTAACTTATTGGTCTAAAGTCTCTAATATCCAATGCCCCATCCTTTTTTCGGGATCATTTAACCTTCAAGACTGTAGCATACCACCATGCTTCCACAACAGATGTCTTGGAAATTCTCATTATGGGCAGCTCTCACTCTAGTGGCTGGTAGCCATTTCCCTTTGGCAACTCTCACCCTACTCTAGATAACCCTTTTCATGATGACTTTCACTCTACTCCAAGTAGTTGTTTCTGTGATAGCTCTCACTCTACACCACGTAACTTTTTCCATGATAGATCATAGATCTCACTCCACTCTAGGTATGCCTTTCCATGATTCAAAGTCAACATGTGGTGATAGTCTTTGATACCAATTGATGCATACTTGACCATTACCAAAAAGCCTTCAGGCTGTTGGAATGCAATAAGCCAAGCTCTTTAACCTTTAGAACCATAACAGACAACTCCAAAACACCCATGTTCTAGATTGAATTTAGACTGTTGGAATAATACAATGACACAAATAACCATAAAGCGTTGAAACAGTAAGAACATATAAAACTTGGAAACTTGAACATCTCATCCTTCGGTTGGAACTTGAAATCATATATTAGATGCATTATAAATTTATAACTTGCATACAAAGACAGAGATATCCAGACTCAGATTACACTAAAAAGACTACTACAGATACCATGTAGGATAGAGGCCATGATTAAGGCTGCATTTGGAAACAAAATAAGTGTGAATGCAAATATGTAGAGTGTAAAATGGTTCATATAAATTGTAAAATTGGGTTAGTTTTGCACTGACAAATTTACCTTCTTACCAAACATACTTTTAGCTGTAATGGATGCAAACATGAATTTCAATAAAGCATATGCTTTTTTTTTTCAAAAGCCCACTTGAATGCAAGTTTACTTCTTTTTTATTGATGTACTTTTACATCTTATTATCAATGTAAATATGCATTGATCTGTCATTTGTCAATGCATAAATGTAATGTTGCCAAACACAGGCAAAAGTGAACCAGAGTGCAAATTTACCCTGAACCAGGATTTACACTCCATTTGCGTCGTTTCCAAACACAGCCTAAGGAATTGATGATGAACTGAAGAACAATAATATGGTGGCAACATATCTAGCAGGAAAATCTATGAAAAAACAGGGAACTTACAAAAATTCCTTCAAGATCCTTGGAAGAATATGTGTGAACAAGCTTCCCTCTCTCTCTTTTCTTGTATCTGCTTAAAATCCACATGAAATCAAAACAAATGTAAGAGAAAAAAAAAATAATAACTATAAAGGAAATAATCCATATGCAAAAACAATAATAAGAAAATGTATCGACCTTCCCTGTGGTCTAGTGGCCTTAATCACTGCATCCTGATCCTCTTTGGAAGTATCATTTTCTACACTTACTTGAGTATCATTCTTCTCAAGGACTGCATAAAAAAGCTAATTCTTATCAAATCATTTCACAATAGAATCAATAATATCGCATCCCTCCATTTACTTTACCTTCAGCATCAGGTTCTGCCACTTGCTGCCAATTAATCCAATAAAAAAGAAAAGGGTCAAATGATCAGATACTGAGTACCTTGTGTTTCTATTAACATCTTCTAGGAAGAACGGAAGAAAATATCAAATATTCAAAATAAAAAATAAAAGGCATTACCACTTTCAATCTTTTCAGAATACTGTCAAATTGTACAGTATCAAATGCCCAGTTGTTAGTGACTTTTTCTATACCAATACCTGACAAAAAAATATGCGAACGAATTAAATTCGCGTGGGAAAAAAGAAAACTTCGAACGAAATAGAGAAAGGGGTCTAAAACTGAAGAAGAAATATACCTGTAGTGTCCTGTTTGTTTTTAACTTTAACATGTCCTTTAATTCCTTGTTTGTCTTTCCCAAGTCCTTCACCTTCTTCCCATCCCTGAAGCAGAAAGGCACCACGATAAAATTTACCTAATGTTTGACCTGAAATCATCTATAGTGTAATTGAAACTTGAACAACCCTATTCTGTGTAATCTAAAACATCGCTGATCAAGGAAAATAAGAGGAAGAATAGAGAATTACCATTTGTTTCATGAGTCGAAAGGCAGCGGACTGCCTCGCAATTCCGACGTAGCAGACAGGAGCCTCGGGTGCTGCCATGCCTTCTTCTTCTTGCCGATGATCCTCTCTTTCGTTGTGTTCAAACTGTGCTCGCCCCAGAGAGGGTGCCTCGGAAAAGGAAGACGAAGAGAGAGAGAGAGAGTTACAAAGGGCGGTCGAGTTAAAACTAACGTAGGGTTCCCGACGGATCCGGTCGAACCGGATATAGGGGTCAAATCTGGGCCGGGTTAATGGTCAATTACGGTTCCGTTTGTTTTGTGGGAAGATTTTGGTGGGATGGGATGAAAAAGGGAAAATGGGTGGAAATTTGTTATATTCCGTTGTTTGGTTGCAAAAGGGAAAATAGTGAAAAAATCAACCCTAATAATAATTATTAATTATTTAATCAGTAATAGTTTTATTCTTTTATATTTTATTATTAATAATTATTTATATTTTAATGAAATAATTGTACAATTAATTAATGTTGATAATTATCTAATTAATTATTAATTAAGAATTAATAATTAATATTTTAAAATTTATTTTATTAATATGTATTATGAATTAATTAATTATTTTATTTAAAATTTTTATTATGTAATTATTTTTATTAAATTATTAATTATATTAATAATAAAATCCTTATTTATTTATTCATTAGTTACTTAGTTAATTAATTATTAACTATTTTTTGTTAATTATTAATTAGTTAATAATACTTTTATTATTTAGTATTTTATTATTAATTATTTAAAATCCATAATTAGTTATTTAATTATTTTAATTAATTAATATTTTACATTTTATTATCTTATAAGTTATTATTAATATTATATTTTATTAATACTAAATACTTAATTAATAATTTTATTATTTAAAAAAAACAATTAATATTAAATTATTTATTGTTTAATATTTTTATTAATGATTTATTATTTGTTTTAATGAGTGGGTCTGGATCCATCCCATAAAATAAAAACCAAAGTCTTGGGCCAAAGGACCAAAAAATCTAAGCCCAATCTGTGTAAAATTTTGAATTGGATCAATTTAAGCTCAGGTTGAACCCACACAAGTTGCACCCTAGCTGTAAATGGGTAGGTCTTCCTAATATAACAAATTGACCAAACCGATTTTTATATAATAATTGAGTCAGAACTGTTTTTTCTTACTCTATACTCCAAACTGATTATATAGTTAATAATATATAAGGAATTCCTAGATTTTTCTAGTTTTTATTATATTTTGTATTAAAAGGGCAAATTCCATAAAAAGGTATATAATATTATGATTAAAAATGCATGATTTATACTTTATTAGTTTTATTAGGGTTATATAATCGAAATTAAGTTGTAAGTTGTCATCATTGTTTTCCATAAAAAAAAGGGTTTTTAGACTGCACTCCACCTCAGAAATCCAATCTCCACCATACAGTTGGAGGTAGGTGTCAGATTGGAATTGATGCCAATTCATGGGCTGGTATGAGTGTTATAGGTGGAGTTGTTTATAATTTTGAATTGTTGTAGGTCTACAGTTCAAATTAGATACCTCCCCTTGAGTTTTCTGACATTCATAAAAACCTCTCATGTGCTTTCATTTTAACAAAACCTCCCCTATATTTAAAAAAGATATACAACTACCTCTTTCTGGACAAAAAAGCTGACCTAATATATTTATTTTTTTAAATACCTATTTTGCCCTTATGCATATCTATTTAAATATTCTCGACAATACTGTTCATTTTCTTCAAGGGATTGAGAACCGAGTCACTGTCTCTTTCTCTCTCGCGTGCATGTGCGCTTGCTATGTCCATCATGGCCTTTCTCGACATGGTCTATCAATTTATCACCCACGCTCCCTTTCTCTCTCTTCAGTCGTGCAGGGAAAACAAACGGTTGTAAGTTGGGCTGCAGCTTATTACAGTATTCAAATATTCAAATGGCTAAATGGGTACTCAAGCCCAACTCGTTACGGAACGGGATCTGCTCCTCACACAAGGGCGCCTCACATGCACAACTATCGTGCATTGGGAACATTGGGAAACATGTTCCCAATGCATGGTACGATGTTCATGTGAGGCGCCTTCTGTGAGGAGCAGATCCGGTCTCACTCGTTACAGTAATACTATTCTAATATCATCTTAGACTAGAGCTTGCATACTGGTCGTAAGCCATAAAGCACATGGGCTGGGATGTAAATGAGGTTTAGGAAGATTGATTTCCTTCGACCCGTTTTCGAAATCCACTTTCTGATTCTTCTTCCTTTTACCTCTCTTTCCATCGTTTCTAGTTTCAGACATTCATGCTCCCAGTTTCTTCCTTATTCAAACCTTTTTCAAGCAGTTGTCATTCCAATATTTTACTGTTTTTCTTTTGACTCTGGGTGTTCTTTCTTGCACTGAAAGCAAGAAGCCACCTTCCTTTTTCGTGAGAGGAGGAGCCACATGCTCTCACGCCATTAGATTGGAATATATATTTAACTCCAATGGGTAATGGCTTACCTTGTAGTGATATTTTTCCACTCTTTTCTTCTGTTGTGACCTGCGAATGACAATAGCTCTGCTTCTCACTTTTTTCAATTGTTGGAGTAGAGACAGAACAGGGTAGATGTGAGGCCGACTAGCCGGTAGCCATCCTACGAAAAGCTTGTAGTTCGGCGATGAGGCCCCCACCAGCCAACCCATGGAGAGGCTACAATGTCGTGGGATGATTCCCTTGCTTCTGCCACTGTAGGTGATGTGTTGTAGATTGACCTTTTCAAATGGGTTAGAAGGTCGACGACTCTAGTTCTCAATTATCGGGAAGAAAAATAACAGCATTTATAAGGGTGAAATAGACATTTTGAAAAAAGTAAATACATTTGATTGGCATTTTTATTTATGAAGGGAGGTAGTTGCATATTTTCTAAAAAGTATAGGGAAAGTTTATGTTAAAGTGAAAATACGGAGAAGGTTTTTATGATTGTGAAAAAACTCGGGAGATTTTTATATTTTACCCCCAAAAAAAACTGTCATCTTCGTAATCATAGATGCCCAGTATAATTGGGTTTATTCGAGTTCGACCAGATTATCCCAATTAGTATTTAGTTCCATTTTGACCCTGTCCTGGCCCTGGCCCTGGCCCAACCCATTGGCTCAAATTGGAATGGAATTACAATTGGATATTGATATTTTCATGCAAACGATTGGATATTAATTAGCATTAATAAATTAAATTCAAAATGATAAAATATATTGTATACTATTAAAAAAATTAAAATAACTTTGATGTTGCATATCATAAATCAAACCAATTAAAATTAACTTGTTTCTGGAACTTAAAAAAAAAAAATAACTTGAACCAACTTCTAATAAAACAACGTTCACGTCATCTTATTTCACCAAGAGCAAAGAAAAAAACAAATGAAATCCATTGTTTGGCGAACACACAATTAATGCCGTTTAATATTATTTTGATATTATTTTTGTGCTAATGAGTTCATAATATTATTTTGATAAATTGAATTCACATCAATCTAAATTAAAAAAAAAATATGTATCAAGCTGTTGTGTGTGTTTTGTTGCATTTTTTCAATATTACTTAACGAGCTCGAATCTCCTGTACACAAACTCTTCCTGCATCCTTACCCACAGAACACTACCAGCGTGCATAGGGAACATCTCCCATAAGTGTGGGAAAGAAATCCCAAGTAATTACATAACGAGGTTTCAAGGAGACTATTGGAGTGGGGATATAGCAACTTAGCAAGGCTGTAGGGCCAAAGGGTGCATGTGATGTTCCTATTTGTGACTGCAATGTTTTGTGGGTAGACGTGAAGGATTCTTATGGACAAGAGATCTGAACTCTAGTATAAGATTTATTTACATATTTAACTTCAGCAAATTTAAAAGTAGAGAGATAATTTTGTCCACCAAAATCAAACATTGCCACGGAAGATTTGAGCAATCAGTAAATAATGTCGCCACCAACACAGAACTATCCAATGTAACCACAAATAAAAAGCCTCGAGCCTTCCAAATAGTCTACAATTCCACTTCCGGCCAACCTGTGTAAAACATTCTCCTGAAGCAGCCAAAATCTTACCATTAGAATCATAACAAACAAACCCAAAAGATCCCTTAGGCTATGTTTGGTTTGATGGAAAATGCAAGGAAGGGAAATATCTCCCAATTAGTATTTAGTTCCATCTAAGTCTGCCGAGATGAAGCCAAATTTGATTCAGTCTTAGCTTCTGCGACAGAATTATGGCTTTCTTCTTCTTCTTTGCTCCATCGCAACCTTCCCTAGAATTCTCCATGCCTTTGAAAACTGAAACCTAAAAGCGAATAGAAATAATATAAAACAAAACAGTCAAAATCGAGGGATCGAAAGATTCGATCGTATCAGATTTACCAAAGGATTAGAGAACGAGGAAGAAAACTACGAAGAGAATGAAAATAAGTTCGACAATTGTCGTATCACAAGGGTAAGTTGGATATTTTTAAAAATTATAACAGTCACGTGATGCATATTTGAATGGTTTATGATAGAATGTTAAAGGTAAGGGAAGTATTTCAAACAGTAAGGGTACACTTGGTCAATATGGACATAAATCCAAATATGGACAAACCTGATCTAAATATGAACCAAGTCCGGACCAGCTCAACTTGGTCTAAATATGAACAGATCACCTCAGTTCAATTCGTTTGATTTGGCAGCCTAGTCCAAACCCGATCCGACCCAGGCCAGAACGATCTAGGTTGACCCGAATTCAAAACAGATCTGGCGCGGGAGAGGTCCGACCCTAATTGTATATGCACAACTCGACCCGAATTCGGACAAGTCCGATTTACTTATCTTGACCCATTTTGAGACAGTCAGTTTGGTCCCAAATCCATGCACAAACATGATATGGACCGGTCCAAGTCGATCTACCATTGATTGAACCGGTCTAGTCTGGTCCAACTAGACTAATCCAAATCTAAACAGTTCAACCACCCTTGATGTGATTAGTTCGAAGACAATCCAATTAGATAGTTCAAGTTGGTCTGACCGGTTTGAACCTAAGTGGTTTGGTCAAACCCAAAACCCAAACATAGTCAAATGGCTTTGCTGCTTGTGTAAAAATAACATGCATATAATGTGATTTGAACCTTCACCACTTGTGTAAATAGCAACTACTATTACCACCAAGCTATAACCAACTTATTTATTAAGAAAGAGTGGTTTTTTTTTTTGTTTTAAGAACATAAATATAAGATTAATGGGTTTGGGCGGGTTGAATTGTCACGCACATACCCTTCTTTACGTCCTTAGCACCAGCCCCAAGCAAGGTGGTGACATTTGGGAAGAATGATCAGGAGGTCGAAGTTAAACAGGATGTGATTGAATATTTCTTTGTTGTTTGCTCGCCACTCCCATTCTCCATCGTGGGGTATCTTTTCGATAGGTATTTAGATCCTCTTCAAAAGCAAGAGAAGGCAAGGCGGTGAACCATCCTCTCTTACCAGAAAAACCGTGTGGATCTCGCTCCCGGTCTACAGGATGCCCTGAGTTGTGATAAAAGGGTATTTTAGGATTTTTCTTTTCAAATATATCAGTCACATTTTGTCACATGTGAACAATTTAATGACGGTAGGGGAGGTTTTAGACAATTGTCAAAAACAATAGAAGTACTTTTAAGACAATATGTAAACAATAAGGTTAGATTTAGTCAATCAATAAGGGTAGTTTAAGAAAATTGCTCTTTACTTTTAAGACAATATGTAAACAATAAGGTTAGATTTAGTCAATCAATAAGGGTAGTTTAAGAAAATTGCTCTTTTCTTTATGACATGTTTTGACCCATCACATTATTTTGAAGATACATATATAATGAAATAAGTGCCTTTTCATCTAGGGATAAGTAGACTATACTCCTCAGAAATCTGAAATTAAAGCCACCTCCTAGTCTACTAATAGCCCCCCCTATAAACCACATTCTGCCTGTGAATTTGGCTTCAATCCACGGTCAGGATTCATTCCACCCCTAGGGTGGAGCTAAGATTTCTAGGGGTGGACTAAACAGTTAAAACCCCTTTCATCTATCAAAAAATAATGACTTTTTGAGGCTCCTAGGCCATAGACCATCTTTGGTTCAATTCTCATTCCGTCTCATTCTTATCCAATATGAAATTCTAAAATGGACAATAATGGGTAAAAATGGGTAGAATGAGAAAATATTGCTATGAACCAAACACTTTTATCTTAAAAATGAATTATTTTCGAACCAGATAGTGCCCTATGTTGCCTATTTTTATTTTTAAACAAATCTGTGTTAGTGGTCATAGACCGCCAACCTAAGTCTCCAAAATCATCACATAGATGTTTACTAGTGGATGGTTGGTGATCAATGCCCCTTGGCATAAGTTTTCACAACAACCCACCAATAAACACAAATGGTGGTGGTTTGGTAGACCTAGGACAGTGATTAATGGTTGTTGGCATAGAGTTTCTTTAGGGGATGTTTGGAAGCGTGTCCATTTGTTGAAAAACGACACCACATCAGATCCATGTAGGCAATTCAACAAACACCCACATGCATCATTGTTTGGTTCAAGCGTTTTTTAGAAAAACGTGCATGCCTCATAAATTTGGCATTTCATGCTTCGGTGAACCATTGCCCCCAACGGTTGACTGATATGGCAAATACCTGTATCCTATGTGGTGCTTACGTGTAGATGAGTTGTCACTAGTGGGAATGTTCCAGTGCTTCTTGGCCCACTGGAACATTCTAACACGATGAGTGGTAGGGTTTTACCGCTACTCATTTTCTTCTTACCATCGAAAGTTCTCTCCTTTCACAGTTGATGCTCTGTAACCTCTACTCATTTCCTTTGTCATTGTCATCGCTGGAGAGGGTGGTCGCTTAAGCCACGTAACTTGCCATCTGTCTTAAATCTGGATGATCAGAAGCATTTAGGGGATGTTTGGAAGAAATTAAGCTTATTTGGTAGAAAGATTGAAATCATATTCAAAAGAAAAGAAATAAAAGGGAGGAACATATATTAGTTACCAAATAGAGAAATATCTTCGTCTTGAAAGGCTGGGACTTGTCTGAAGGGTTGTTATAGAGAAGAAGGTTCATAATGGAACTAAAATATATAGGGGATAAAAAATGTGTGCAGGTAAGAGCCTGAGAATTGGTATGGTCATATCATTTCATACTTGAAGCTTGAGAAAATCGGGTTTCTTGTGTTTGCCCTTAGACATATTAACATTGATGAGCTGAAACTCAACTTCTTTTTCGAGGAGACATGCTAAGACCCTTAAAATGACAGTGGACATGGGTGGTCCATATACTTTCATAGGCGTCGCCATTATAGGTTCTACAACGGCCATTGGTAGCTTCCTCTCTCTTTCCTGTGTATCAATGTATGTATTGCCAGCCTTCCAAGCTAAAAGAAAAGATGGGACTTTATCCTTAGGTCAGAGAGGGTGGTCACTTAAGCCACGTAACTTGCCATTAGTCTTAAATCTGGACGATCAGAAGCATTTAGGGGATGTTTGGTTACAAACTACTATAGACTTAGCCCACTGAGCAACGGAACATATTTTCTTCTTCGTTCTTCCCACTAGTCACCATTGTACTTTTCTTCTTTGGGTGGGAAGTGATTTACTAAGGGTGTTTACACCTAAAACATATAGCAAGAAGGTGAATTGAGAACCTTCGTATATCAGGTTGGATGATTAGAAGCATTTAGGTGAATTGGATCACGCACAACCGTTGGATATGATGCCATTATTCATGCTGGTGTTGTTGATCTATTCCAACAACATTTTCAACCATTGGATTTAAAATTTTAGGCCAAATATTATAAAACAATCATCCAATTAATCTAGACAATTTGGTAAGTATCGTTATATATTTTGGTATGATATTAGTGCACATCATCTTACGGGGTAATATGTGTACATACATGAAAAACGGCGATGAAAATCACCTTACCAAATAACATTGTGTTGCTCACTGCCCACGTGGCAAAATCACTCTCAAACAAAATCAGTGCATTTTTTTTGTGAAAAACGGGTCTTGGAAGCAAAGGCATTTTTTTATTGAAAATCGGTCCCAAAAAACACCCACGCTTCCAAACATGATCATAAAGAATGAGAATGAGCTAGATTGGGCATGATTATTTTTCATCGTGTAGGATGCCTCAATTTTTGTGCTATGAGCTGATTTTTTCATTTGAAAAGAATATTCCATGGTTAGTAGTTTGTAACCAAACACTCTATTATTATTCATTATTGTCTATTTTTATTCAAAATGATCAAGAATTAAAAAATAGGCGCAAAGCAACAATCAAATATGGCCTCAATAAGCATTTATTTCGCAACATTACAAATGAGAGAATCCGCATAATTGTGGGTTTGATCAGATTTGGTATGTATTTGTAACTGTGGACATTTATTGACTAAACATTTTGTATTTGATTTATTTGAAAAACCGAAAAAAACAATAATGAACCCATTTATTAACACTTAGGTACTATATTAACAAAACAATGAAAAAACAATGATGAACCCGTTTCTCTACTCCAGGAAGATATGCACATAAACCGAAATCTACTTTTGCAAGTCCCTATAAATTCACATAATGAGGAAATATTTAAATGGTGCCTATTTGGTGGCGTTTATCCACAGTTTCACAAACACGATTGATCGTCATAAAATATTAAAACAGTCCTCAGACTGTTTTTCACATCCTTTTGCAGCCGTGCATCAGGAACATCTCCTTACCCGTATGTTTGTATTCAGTGGGAGATATTCTCAATTCACGGCTGCAAGAAGCTGAAGTGCCTCCTATTTTGAAGAGACCCGGAATGACCGTTTGAGGCTCCCGGGCTATAGGTTTTTAGAGCTCTGGACAGCTCTTATATCCCGCCCCCTCTTAGCCTCTGCGGGCTTCCTCCTTGGTTCCCTTAAAATGGAGCTCTAGGGGAAGCAGTTTTATCCTCCCCTCATATTCTTACTCCTCGCTACGTAGTACAGCTTTTCATGGGGTCTATGCTCGGGGATTGGCCTTCGTATAATCCTTACAATTTCAGCCAACTTCGACCATCGGATCCTTCCAATCCTTCTGTAAGGATTTGTTTTATCCCCTTTTCTCACTTTTCCATTTTAATCAACCCGTAGTGCGATCCCATGTTCTTTGTACCTTAATTTGCAAGCTTTGAATTTGATTTAGTTCATCTCATCATCTGTCATTCTGTCTCCTATCACCTCTCTCATTTTCCCACAACTTTGTAAGATCGTAGTAGTTTATTTTTTTTCCAGTTGTTTTATTTTTAATCACTTGGACATTGTAATTGGTTTTCTTTTAGTGCAAAATTAGGGTTTGTAAGTGGACATTTTTAGCTTAAAATTTCTGAAATTACGTAATTGCCTCAGAATTGGAAATCAACTTGACATATTTATGCTAGAAAAACGATCTATGGGTTGGATGTGCAAGTGGAAGCGATCATGTACAATTATAGGAGACCTTTGTACCCTTTGAATGTTTATTTTATTTGGTTGAAAACTTTATCATTTATGGTAAAAGATGTTTGCTATCTTTCATGGAAGAAAGAGCAAGTTTGTATCCATAAAATTAACTGTTAGCTCTGAATTAATTAAGGCCTTTCCTACACAATAATGCCTAAGTATCCAGCCAAGTCCACCTGGCAATTCATAATAATAGTAGTTGAATGAAGAAATAATAAATGCCCATGTTTAATTTGGTACATTATTGTTCAGACACTTGTATTTTAATTCTAAATTACACATTGTCCAACATTACACTTGACATATTCGGATATCATAGGTTAATATGTTGCCAATGTACATTGCTGATCAAAAATGAAAAAAAAAAAGATGTTTCCCATGTATTTCCTCTGTTGGTTACCGAAGTATTGCTTCATAGTAAAAGGAAATGATAGTGGAATATTGAAGTTTGCTTGGTGTCAAAAAATCATTATTGGATTATGGTACTTAGATTTTTTTTAAGTAGGTTAACACAATTGTTTTAGTGAGAAATCCATGAACTAAGTTTAGAATTCACAAAAACCACGATGAGTAAGGATTTAACCATTAGCTTTTTCTGGTTCTAATGTTATTCTAGTGCAGGTATATGTTATCTTTTAATTTTTCAAAATAAAAAAATTCCTGATTATAGAAGTTTGATAGAAAGTGCTCTTTTGTGATGTCATGTAATGATGTAAATACAATATTGAAAAAAGGTTACTGCTATAATACCGGTTTCATTATCTTAATACCTTAACCCACCAATTAAGCACTTCATTTCAGGAGAATAATCTCCAATTGTAAGAGAAAACAAGAAATGGCAGAGCCATCACTAAAAAAACAAAGAAAAAAAGAACAGCTCTCCTCTTAATAGACCCTAGATATTTCCTCTCAAACAAATGAAGAAAAGAAGCCTACAGCACACAGAGGGCTACAGCAAAGGGGTACCATTCTATGAAAATTGGTTCTGTCTGCACTATGTTGAGGCCTGTAGAGAGAAAGGAAACAACAAAATTTTTGAACCCAAGAGACCAAACTTATCAAGAAGATGAATTCATGATGGCATACTGGTGTCGTGTACTGAAGGAGTTTCATGGATGCAGCTTGTCAGATCTTGAACATAGATGGATTGATATAATTTTTGGTTCTTGATTCGGTTTCTCTTGCCTTGGTTCTATCTCATTAACCATTAAGTCTTTTTTAAGTCTCTTTGAGCTGATTTAATCTTAGTATTTCAACAACCATTTATTAGAAAAAGAAAATAAACATATGGCATCCACAAGTAAACTATGAGAATCTACAATCAGAACAGCTTCCCCTTTCTAATCATAATTCCACATTTTCTTTTTCCTCTGTTATGGTATTGATCTCCTTTGTTTAAGTTATCTTGTTGTCTATTTTCAGAAGATTACACCTGCTACTTATCATCCTACTCATAACCGGACTGTTCCACCACCTAACCAAGGTTAGAAACATATTCGCTATATCATCCTATCATTTTATTTGTTATTAATTTTTACACCCTGCTCAAAAATGGTTTTGGACATTTAATGTGCAAAGTCATTCCTGCTGAATGGCTTTAGAATTTGCATATCCTTTGTTGGTATAGTATTGGGAGTTTCATACTAGAACTACATATTTCATGATATGGTGTAGATTTTCTTCTTTTGCATTTGGACTTGGTGTGTCAGTAATCCACAAGTTTTCTTGCTTTTATCAAACGGTGTTGCAAATGCTAATTGGATTTCCAATACATGGACACATACAGTTTAATTGTCATGTCAATATCATTAATAGCATGTTCAAATTATGAAAAGAATGAGAGATAATTGGTTAAATATTAAAATCACACAACTATTTTTTTATTGTTAACATATTGATGATAATTTTACTGATCAGATAATAAATATGAATACATCAGTAAAAGTATGATATAATTAATATTTGCATATGATATCTAATAACTAGAGCATATGAGGTTGTAATGCCACATGAAATGCCACACGCACACGCACACACACCCGAAAATTACAGTCTCTTGGTGTTGTATATAAAACAACTAATAAAAGCTCCAGCTGTCTAAGACCCAAGTATCATTGGTCTTCAGTCTATCCACTTCATGCTTGAGTGTTAGCTAACATGAAAACATTTACCAATGAAAATTTTATCATGTAAAAGGTTTCATAAAAATTTGGAACTTGAAGAATGTTAAGAGTGCTAGGGGATATGGAGAATTTCTCCATGAAAGTTTTCTCTGTGCTTCATTGTATATCCTCTTTGCATGATCTTCCCATTTTCTTGTGCATTGAAATAATCAAATGTGGCTTACATTTATAGATGTCAATTACTGAGGGCTAATCCATTAACCTGCACTCCCTGATATTCTGTGTTCTATTCTCTTAGTGCAAGAAGAAAGTTGCAGAGACAGGTCCTTCGCATTGCATTTGGAATATATTTGTAGCAGGATAGTTTTCTTTTTAGGTTTTGGTTATCCTCAGCATACTGCTGTCTTGCTTTGGAGGCAAGTGCTTGATGTTTTGAACTAGTTTGATGGGGTTAGACATCCTGCATTACTGTTTCGCTCCTGCTTTGAGGGATTTTTTTTTTGTTCTCTGTTTAAATCTGGATGATTGGAAAATGGAAGCTGAACTTAGAATTCTAGAATTTTTCTGCAGCCTATACTTGAATCTTGGATACATATTTCTTTTTGCTAAGTGGATTTCTTATTGCTTTAATTGCTTTCACTTACTGCATGTTGTCCAAGGAGGAGTTGTATTTTATTATATGAAGATGGATGAGGTGATCAAGTAGCTAGCTTCTAATGGGATCTTATCCTCATTTCTCTGACACAATTATTGAATCTGGATTGGTTAAGCTGATCGAAGTGGAACCCTTAGAAGCTCAGTTGATGAGGGACCCAGGGACCCAAAATCCTCCAAGCAGGCATGATATGGGACTGATAGCTCGTTACTAGATGATGTAGGACTAATGATCCAAGGCTGGACTGGTTACCAATTTGGTGGGAAAATGAAAAGTAAATGGTGATTTTGATGATTGTGTTTGTGGGGCTATGGGCAGGTTTAGGGAAGGTGAGTGAGGGTTTGTCTAAGGCTGAGGTGCAACGAGTTCCTAGATCCTGAGGTGCAAGGTGAGGCGTATGCCCAAACAAAATGAAGTGCTACTTTTGGGGAAAAACAACATTAATTCCTTTATAGATGCACTTTTCAAACAACGGGTGGGGAAAGGTTCAATTGTTTTGGGCTTTATTGTAATCACATACTTTTTTTGTGGGGAGGGTTAAGAGAGCTTACCTCTCCCCTTGACATTCTGTACTTGTCTCGCCTTGTTCATTCAAGACCTACATAGGCTAACCAGTTTAAACCCTAATCATCATAGGTTCAATCTAAAATACAAGAAATTACATATTCACATCTTACTGGTGGTAACTTTACAACAAGGCAGGCGAAAACACCCGGGTTCAGGCAAGGCAAACATAAAGAGCCTCACTTACGTGCCTATCTATGCCCGAGGCATGCCTTTTAAAACACTTGTACATTCCACAATCATCATGAAAAAGAAGATCAAGATCTAAATGTATTTTTAAACAATACTGTTGAATGGTGGTAAGTCTCGCCATATTGGCATAGCAAGTCCCCTTTGTCAGTTAACCTCTAGGACTAGATCTGTGATAATACCAGGTTTTTGCACCTATTTTTTAGTTGAAGCATGTAATCATGTATCCACTTATTTCATCTTGTTTCTTCCATAAGTTTTTTCGTGGAAATCACTAACCTTGTTTACTCTAGCAGTTATATCAACTGAATCTACAAATATTCTTTTGAGACAGTTCTATCAACGTTCGGAGGAAAAGGTTTGACTTCTGCACTTCACATAACCATGTCCACACACACACACACATACATGTGAGAGGCACCCCTTTTACTTAGTTTCTCACTGGTGCATTATTTTCAGTTGAGACTAAAAAGAGCAGCCTCCGATCATCTGGTTCCAGAGCATGGATGCAAACAACCAAGGGGTTCTTTCGTGGATACTTCCAACTGAATCTTTCTCATTATAACGTCCTGAGCTTTCTCTATGTTTCTCTATCAATTCTTACTGGCCATGCCAAGGATGTCTTAGTCTTCCTTGGGTTGCTCATTTGTGTTGTATGCTTATCCAGCCATGTAGATTATGTGTTTATGGTTTATAATGGAATAAATTAAGGGGGAGGGGTGGAGCAAGGCAACACCCACCGGTACAAGCAATTAGATGTTTTTCCTGTCAAAAGTGCCAAAAAGCTTTACCATTGGCTTTGCTGTTGGACTGGATTTTATCACTGTGTATTATGTATCTTGGACATGGTTTTCAAAACCGGACCGGACCGGAAAAACCGGGAACCGGTCAGGTGACTGGTTTTGGTTTTCCCCAAAATCGGAAATTTGCCCAATACCATTGATTTTGGTCAGCAAACCGCTGACCTGGGCAGTTAACCATTCAGACGGTTTTGACCGTTTTTTTAATTTTTTTCAGAATGGGTCGACCATTTGGTTTGAACAGTCGGACCATTCAACCCGATAGCCGGACCCCTGGCCGGTTCAGTCTCCGGGTTGTTTTTAAAAACCATGATCTTGGATGCATTTTGCCCTTGCTGTTGTTGGATTCATCCTGGATTTTATTACCATTGGCTTTACCATAATGCATCTTCGTGCAGACGTGTGACCCAAAATGAACTCTCAATCTCGAGACCTTGGAAGCGTGATCGTGTTTGTATGGAAAGTATGACTATGAAATCTGAATTTGGCAATTCGTATCTCCTACCCACAAGAGACTACAGCTGTACATTGGGAATGGGGAATTCTCATCAGCGCCCCACAGCACATCCCAATAGCCTACCGGAAATATCTTCCAATGACAAGTACGGTAAATGTTTCCAATACACGCTGAGATGTGCATGTGGGGCGCCAATGTGAACTCGGGAATGGGTAGAACTGGATTGGGATTTTGGACAATGAGGAAAAATATATCCATGGTCAGGTCTTGGATCTGCGACCCACTACTTGTTCTCACATCTTTACCCATGGGACATACCAGTTGTGCATTGAGATTATCTCCCTTTTCATTAATAGAGATGTTCTCAATATACAATGGCGGTGTTCAGTGTATATAGATGTGGGAACAAGTAGGATAACAGATCCAGAGGCCCATATTCCATAGTCAGAGGTTGTCAGGTTGAGGATGACTTCCCCCCCTCCCCCCGCCCCAATGATCCGTGTAGTCGAACTATTGACTTGGACAATGGTTTTGGCCTTTTTTTGTTTTTTATTTTTTTAAATTTTTGTTAGAGCGGGCTCTCCATTTGGACTGAATGGTTGAACCGTTTGATCGAGGAACTGGAGCCCATGGGAATGTTCGGTCTGGTTTTAAAAACCTTGGTCAATGGGTTGGGTCTGGGTCAGTTCTAGGTAGTTTCAAAGAACCATTCAACCTAAAAGCTTAAACTGTTAAGTGAAGTCCTTGAATAGGTCGATATTCTCTAGCACACCCCTCACACGAAAGCCCATTGGGCTTAAAGTGGGAACAAGCTCAGGCCTATTCATACCTTGTGCTGAAACTTAATTAATTATAATGGGGGTAATGAGGATCGAATGCTAGACCATTTGGTCAAAGTGACTCTAATACCATCTCAAAGAACGATTCAACCTAAAAGCTTAAGCTATTAGGTGAGGTCCTTGAATAAGTTGATATTCTCTAACAGGTAGAACTGGTCCTAAACCAACAAGAAATATGTAAGACCTGGGACCAACCTAGACTTGATAGGGTCTATAATTTTAGACATAGAACCGAATAGATCGATTCTTGGGATAATCGGATCCAACCTGATGGACCTAATTATAATAAACCTGCTTAGGAAAAAAACATGTAATGGCAAGTTCTTTGATTGTCAATCTATTTTAAGTGATTCAAATGTAGAGATGGAATTTCACTAAATGAAGTAGTAAAATTTTCTTGAACAACATCCTCTGGTTTCCTAACTGTATTGAAATAAAAAACCTAGAAATTATGATTAGTTCATCATTTATTAAGAGCAAATCAGAGCAAAACCGAGTACAAAAAATCAGAAAAATAACTAACATGTTTGAAGTCTATTATCTACATCCTTCAAGAATCAAGTACAAAGGTAAAAGGCATAACCTTTCTGCAAATTTATCAGTTTGATCTGGGCTTCTTGTTACTGAAACCAAAACTGATCTAATCAATTTGGGTCCATCAGGTTGGACCCAACCCATTGACAGCCCTAGCAATCAAGGTTCAAAATATTGATATAGGGCAATATGCCGGTAGGGTGTATCTGTATTATTTTTTTTGTTTTTTTTTTTATATATATATATATTTTTTCAAATCTGATTCTGAGGGACTGGTCTACCTCTGAACCACTCGCCAACTCAAAACACCCGCTATAAAGACATATCAAGAAGGCTCCAATACAATACGTATCAACCGTTATATGATGAAATTTTGAAAACTTGCTAGCAACAGATTCAAGGTCTTTATCTAATACTATCCAGTTCCTACGTTAATGCTTTCCCAGTCACCCACATGGTTGATAGTTCCCACTTCGAATCTAAGGATAACAGTTCTGCCTACCTGACAAAATATGACAGAGCGGAAGGGAGATACTGGCATTTTTTGAATTGGAAAAACTTATGCCAGAAAGACATGATGACAAAAAAGCTTTGACCAATGTTAACGCGTTTATGATACCAGTTCATTGGACAAACTTTTCAGATATCATGTTCATGTCTTTGGGTATTATACTTGAACCCTTTTGAATTTTTCAAGGTACTGTTATTGTCAAAACCGCGTGAAGAGATCAAGTTGGGTAAGTTTGGTGAAACGCATTATAACTGGTTAAATGGACTAACGGATAAACCAACAATAATAACAATAACAACAATACTAATTAATACTAGTAATAGTAGTTCTTTTCTCCAAATAGTTGCGCAATTGCGTTGTTTTTTCCTTCCATCCCAAACTAAATGAGGATATTGCGCAATTCAATAGGAACAAAATAGATGGAATGTTCACCACAATTATATATACATGAAAAAATTTTATTAAATATAACTATACAATCTGCCGCATCATTTTCATCCTTAAGTTTGTTTATACGTAGACCAGGGAGATTTCCTAAGTTAAATGTTGGTCTGGGAAGTCCCACAGCTGGAAACTCTTCAATCAAGGGCAACTCATTTTCTTCCTGATCGTCTGGGGATAAAATTTCAACCTTTGAATCGGATTAAATCTACACATTCTCAAGACCTGCATTATGATTGCAGCATCTTTTCTTTTTCAGCTAGGTAAAGGATGAGATTTTGATGTGTTATCTTCGTGGAAGCTAATGAAGGACCACTTTCATGTAAAGACTAATACCAGTTATCCTTTGGCTCATATGAGATATGAGACCTGATCTTTCTGGCATATTTTGAGCTATCCAAGTCGATTTTGCTGTTAATATACACGAGTTCATACCTGAGCAATAGGTTGAGCTAATCAAGTCCCTCATTGCATGTTGGACCATATTCATGATTTCTATGCATCGAACTTGACATTGTTAGAAGTGCAATATATACTGACTGACCCTTGGATCCTGGTGAGATCACCAAATCAACCTGAAAGAAGGAAATAGTAATCGTCTCAGCGCTGGTGAGAAAGGGTCATCAAACTGACCAACCTTATATTCGTGGAGGAGATGTTGATATACTGCTGCCAAAAAGCAACTCTTCATCTCTTAATCCTTTGCTGCTTTGCTGCTTATTCATTTATCAGCTTATGATGAAATTTCCATTATAATAGTTTCTCAAGGTCAAACTAACGTTGAATTTGTGCTTGTTCAGCCTGGGAGGCAGTCCTTTCCACAGCCATCCACCACTCACTATCATCGTCATCAACTTTCTGCTTGAGTATCAGGTCAGGTATAGAAAACATAAGTGGGAAGAGAAAAAAAAGTAAAATTTCCTTTTATTTTCTGATTATTCAAGTGAAAACTTTTATATGGAATAGTAACTAGTTAAAAGCATTCTGTTATGCGTTCTGACGAAAATTCAAATGCATTAGTGCTAATAAACCAACAAAAAAAATAGACAGACCTGTTGAGATCATTAGCAGAACTATAACTTGACTGAAAGACAAAAACTGATAAATTTGATGGGGTAATCACATGGATTATGGGTCAATTGGATTATGCCACATAGAGTGTGGAATGTATACCTGTTTACCAACTATCTAAAGACTCCGGGTAACCAAGTATTCAGTTTAACCTAATTAACTATTACCTAGGAAGGGGAATTATTTCTTCAATAAGGAAAGTTTAGTCAATATCTAGAACAAACATGTGGCAGTGGGTTCAAGTTTAGAGAATAATAGACACAAGTAAACTTTTTCTAACCTTTTTTTAAGTTGCAAACAATTTCTAACCGGTTGCACAACTTTCCATTACACTCCCGCGTAAGGTAGAACAATATTAGTTTCCACACTTTCCATAGTCTCGTGAAATATCAAAGAGAGTTGGAAATATTGAATTAATAAATCTAATAATTACATCACTATTTATAGACTGACAAACCTAAATCAAATTGAACTCTAACTAATCTATCCCATTCCAACTCAAAAATCTTATCACAACAGTTTCATTTCATCCCTATCATATCTTGTAACATGCCCGCTCAAATACATGTGGATCAAAGATTTTCGTGGTAGATCAAGATTGTTGAAATGTGATGGTGTGTCTAAATCCTCCAATCCAGCTATTATGATGATGATGTGGCAAGTAATAAATGACTGGGCTGATGATGACATGGCATAATGACAAGAACCTGCTACTTCAAGAGAGAGTCTTCATGGGTTGATCAACAAAGCTGTCAATGAGCCAGTATAGGCCAAATAGAAGATAGGCTAAAACAGACCAACAATAGATCTCATGAGGTCATCCAAAATGCCTCTATGGGCTGGCTTCTTTAGCTGATCAGATAATGGGGCACATCAGTACAATACGAAAGTGGACCAATAAGAGGCAATAAAGACTACAATGGGTTAACAGAGATGCATTGAGCCATTGATAGACTAAACCAAAGATGGGCCACTATGGGCCAAAACAAAAAATGCCACAATGGGCTGTTAAGATAGGGGGCATCAATAGGCCAGATTATAGAAGAGCAACAGTCCTTTGAAGACGAACTGATTCAACCAGTTCAACTGATTCATTGATGTGCAATCATGTAAGATGCAATGAGCATGTTGCACCAAAGGTGTCACACAAGACAATTGTAAAAGGGGCACCAGTTGCATGGGAACTTGTTATCAATGCATATAATGGTGAAGAAAAATACTGCCATGTGTCCATGATCAGCATAGCGCGATGGATGGCTTGCATGCATCCATGGTCTCATGGAATTGGGGAACTTACTCAACAAAGCCTGAACCGTCCAAAAGATAGGAATCATCAAAGGTTGGTTGAGAAAACAAATGTTTGAAGCATCCAAACAGGTGTCATAATGAACATATAACAGAACAACTATTTGATTGTTCTATTTCCGACCAATGGTGGTGAACTGATGAAAGATAAACAAGGGAACCAGAGAAATGTCACAGTAGAATCAACAGAAGCCTGGGTATGTTAATAGAAATGGTGGATGGTGTGACTCGTAAATCTGATGGAGAAAAAGACAGAACTCTGTTTAGATGCTTCAGATGTGGATACCCATCTCATTCTGACTTGAGAATGTGCCCCGACAACAGAACCAGTTGTGGTCACAGTAGGGATGTGCCTTGGAAGCACTGGATCAGAGTTCGCCAGATGCTTTGGTCTTGGGAAAGCATAGAGTGAAAGCTCCTTCTCTGTTAGCGATGAAGTCTAGTAGTGAGAGGCTAGGTTAGTGATTGGAGAGATTTCAATGGTGAACTCAGTACAACAAGGGAGTTATACTTGGATGAGATAAGATCAAGGTGAAATTGGTTATTTTGTGGGAGAAGTGATAAAAGTGAAAAATGAGAACAAGAGAAAAGAATAGAATTCTAGAATGACTAAATATAAAACTAGGGAAAAGAAATGAAAGATAGGAAGCATGTTCAGAAATCAGTAAACCATACCTGCTCTGATATCATGTGAAATATCAAAGAAAGTTGGCAATATTGCATTAATAAATCTAAGAATTACATCACTATTTATGGACTGACAAATGCAAATCAAATTGAACTCCAACTAATCTTATCCTATTCCAAGTCAAACACTGTACTCTTATCACAATTTCATCTCGTCCCTATCTTTTCTTCTAACATCTCTGTCCATCATTCAATCTTATAGGTATTTTGTCATTCTCTCTTTTTACTCTATCCAACACTCCAACTGGTTAAGAGAATTTTTTGACAGTTAGGTGACCAGTTAGAAAAGATTTACATGACTCTACTACTTTCCAAAAATGAACTTGCAGCCACGTTTTTAGTTCATCATTTGGAGTTTTAATTTCATTAGGTATTTCACCATGCACAATAGGGAAATTTTGTAAATTTCAATAAGATATTTGAAAAATCTGAGGAAAAAGGAAAAATATTTAAAATATTAGGAAAATATGTAAATGTTAAAAATGGAATAGTTACAAACCTACATCTAAAATATTATGCCAACCATATTTCACAAATGATAAAAGATTAAAAATCTTAAATAAGCATAAATAAGAACAGTTATTAACATACAAGGCAAGCATCCTTAATAACCAAATATAACTACTGCTAACTCCTTCGCTTTGAGAATCTTTAGGATAACATCTATTTTGAATTGTGAGGCTATATTACTTAGTACTATGAATTTTATTATTGTAAAACTATTATAAAGAATAAGTTATTTTTAATAATTATTCAACTAAAATTTTTAAAAGAGCTTTATATTTTGCAGGTATCAATTCAAACGTTTAGAATCAATAAAACCAAATAACCATTTTTAGTTTTAAGCAAAAAAAAGTGGTTTGAGAAATTTCTATGCCTTGCACTCGTTTCCCAATGATTATTGCAAAACTAGTGAAGTTTCCCCATATTCTGCCAATAATTTGAATGTTTGCACTATAACAAATTAAAATTTTTGTTGTTATATCAAGATTTGAAATATCATGGAAATATCAAGAGATATTTGGAAATTTTCATTCCAAGATGTTTTTATTTTGCCTCTAGGGGAAAATGGGGCAATTTTGGTGAAACTTTGCTATGTTTTGGGGAAATTGTGAACCATAGTCGAAATAGAACGGATTGGCGAAATAGGATTCATGTAGTCGACCCATTTGAAATATCATGGAAATATCAAGAGATTTTTGGAAAATTTCATTCCAGGATGTTTTTATTTTGCCTCTAGGGGAAAATGGGACAATTTTGGTGAAACTTTGCTATGTTTTGGGGAAATTGTGAACCATAGTAGAAATAGAACGGATTGGCGAAATAAGATTCATGTAGCCGACCCCATATAGTTGGGACAAGGCATGGATGATGATGATGGTGGTGGTTTAAGCCTCAGGATGCACAGGATCACAGTTATGATGCAAATTTTTTTGTTTATTTTATAGAAATGTCTTAATAGAATTATTTTGTTCTAGCCTGAAGTAATTTTCTGCTACATGAGATGAAACCAAGGTGGTTATTGGCTACCATGCTTAGCACCTATTAGACAAGATGATAACAACAAGTCCTGCCTATCTCAGGAAATAATTAGTATCAGGATGTCCAAAAGGGCACCACTATAAACTCCCTAATTAAACAGTCCAAAAAATGCAAAGTTTAATTTTCAATGACAAGAAAACTTCCAATAACTTGGGGCACCTTCCTATTATTACTAGCTACTTACCCATTGATTGTTTTCTGGCTTTGTGTGTATTATCATAACTATGCATGAACCACCAACCATCAGAATGATTGGAGGAATGTCCTTTATAATAGTTAAGACTTAATAGAAGTTAAAATGACATATTAAGAAATGACACTAGACATTCAAAATAAGAATAAATGAGTTGAGGTTTAAAATAACTTGCAACTCTGGTGCCATAAGACTAACTTGTTACTTTGTTAGGTCTGTAGCAACTGAATGTCTAATGTAGAAGACCTTGAACAGCATATTCAAAATTTTCAAAAGAAAATCAAGAATATGAGAACAGAATTAACATGTATGGATGAATGGAGTGAACTAACCGTGTCAACAAGCTCCTGTGTCCTTATACTTTCAATGTCATCTGCCATTCTTATTGCTTCAAGCCACCACCCATCTTTCATGCAGCTATCTGTAACGTTCTTATTGCTATAAGAACTAAGCTCCAAATTATTTTCATCATAACCTTGGTGAAGGTCATTATATATCATCTCTCCAGGATGCTCCATCTGTAGCGACTTGAGTACAGCCATGGTATCAGGAAAAACATCTCCAGGGATTGGACGCAAGGGAGATCGATATCCTGGCATCATAACTCAGTGAAAAATGACCATTTATGCATTTCAAATGGTCTCAGAATGAAGACAACAAAGGCAGGTAAGGTTGTTTCTTACCTTTGCAATCAGGATCATAACATTTCTGATAATATACAGCCCTTCTTAAGTCAACAATGTACATCACTGAACCAACAAGATGTCAGACAATCATTAGCTTGTTTTAAGATCAGCACATTGAAACAAGGTCTCTGAGAATTTTAACAAAAAAATGCAACCAAATTCATCAACAACAAACAATTTTGAGCAAAATATTTCAGATGAGGCAAAAAATATCATAGAAGTATTAATATTCTAAGAAATGAAAACTATCCAACCTTGGTGGCTAATTTTTTTTGGTGATCTGAAAGTTTTGTCCATTTTTATCCATTATATTCTTTATCCATTTGATCAATTCCAACTGGAGTACAGCTGCCAAGGAAAGTTGACCAGGTTTAGAACAGGCCCTGATTTCAAGCTTGAGCTCTGCATGCAAGTCAAACTCCAAGCTCAGGCTCAAGCCAGCAAGGCTATATACTGGCAGGGGGTAGCAATGGGAAACCAATTACCTATATACCAACATAATCACCATCTCTGGTTAGCATGGTCTGAGTCCTTGCCTGGTTACCTGGTCTTCACTGGTCCAACCCCTAACCCAGTCAGATAAACAGTACGAATCTTGAAATTTATGGGAGATAATAAAGCAAATACATTTTTCTATTTTTAATAAGAATTTGATAACTTCTGCATACCCAAGTAGTTATGATCATTTGGTAAGTCTGGGTCTTCAATAAAGATAACCTCTGACATATCCAGGCCTGAACCTGATAAGACATGGAAATGATGCATACTATAGGATCCAGGTATGGATATACATGGGCACAATCCGCTTACACCACTATAATTGGGAAAGGTTAGGACATATTAGGTCCAAGTTTCAACTACAAAGTACACACGGACAGAAAAATCTTGTTCACTGTAATTTGACTTGGCCCAATGAGACTTTATCCCAGAGGCTGCCCAAATGGACCAACAAGTATAGACAGCTCAGTTCAGGTCCACCTGAAGCAAGTTGGCTATTGGCCACATCATAGGTCAAAATTCAAATTCAAGGCACATAATTTATTGGGACAAGCCAACATTTCTATGCAGCCAATTGACAGTCCAATGCAATATCAAATTAAATCATGATACATGTTTCAATAGCTTCTATTGAAACATACCAAATGTTTTAGTATCATAAAATTCTGATCAACAAAACAAAATAGATGTTAATTATATTTTTTATTTCAAAACCATTTTCCTATCTTTCCCCATTTCGAGAAAGAAGGGTGTATCACTAAATGGGAAAAAATCAAGGCCACAAGAAAAGTAAGGAAGAGGCCCAACATGCTAAAAAAATCAGGAATATTTTTTATGCCCTCTCAAAGGCTTTATTGTGTTGATCACAGCATAAGAAAAAGAGATCCATTATTACTATTCATTGATCTTTGCAGAGGAATTAACTAGATTTATGCAGAAGGCAGTTTTCTGATGCACTATCTTCTTTTCTTATACACACCATGAGATGCTTAGATACTCAAGACATGTACAGGTTTCCATTGAGGCAATCTTAGGTCTTAGGATTAGCCGTGCTAAGAGTTAGGTGTTCAAGGTGATGTTCCAAGCATGGAGAGGCTGGTGGATACTCTAAGATGTTAGCATGGTTCAAAGTATTGATACTCTTGATATGCAAAAGTTGTGTATTGAAAGATCATTTTGATCAAAACACAATGTTTTTTTTTGAACTTTATTGATTTGATAAAGTGACAAAAGGCATGATGCGACAGCTATTAATGATCAAACTAATTTGAAACACCTAATTCCATTAATTCAGTGTATTGGTCACTCTGAAAATTGATATGTATTGGTCAATACTCACTGATAAGTTTTGATATTTTGGACCTTGGGTGTCAGAGAGGATCCCTTCCATGAAGATACTTAAGCCTTCCCTTTAGGGCCAATTACAAGAAGGTTAATATGAGATCCAGTCAGGATGGTTTGGCAAGAAGATGGACGTTAGGAAATGTCTTATCCATTTAAGGCAGGAAAGAATGTAATGCCCTAGCAAATAATCTATTTTACTACACTCTACTCTTTGCTATTCCTATAGTTGTAGCAGAAATGCGTGTGTGTGTGTGTGTTGGGGGGGGGGAGACTTTTTTTTGGAGGATGGTGTCTTGAGTGATTTTTGGAGTGAGGTTTTCATCCCTAAATGTAGAGGTGAAGTAAGACTCGATCCCCACAAATTGATGGAAAAAGTTCTACTAAGCAAATGACAAGTGGAGATTTTGATGCACAGAGGACAAATTACAGTGTTAAGCCATCACAAACAAATATGGCCATAAAGAGCATGGTTAGGAAGCTAGGGGTATCCTAACCAATTTTATATTGTTCAGGAAGTTCATACATTCAATGTTTATTGGGTATGGTTAGAGGGCCCTCACCTATCCCATTGAAAATTTCTTTCTTCATGTGGATCTTGATCTTGGACTAAGATTTTGACAATAGACTCACATAAATGAAACAAATGCTCACAAGAAGCGGTGGATCAATCCTCATTTTTGTTACCTTGTGAGTTCTCTTTACATTTATGGTCCCACTTCATATGTTATTCAGAAAATACCCAGTAACCCCCAACTAACTTACCAGATTCAATTTAATTGTGGCCTATGTGAGGTACAGTAGAGGGGAGTATTTTGCATAACGTGCTATCTTTTGTGGTTGTTAGAGAATAATAAAATCCTTTTGTGGTGGATATTATTAAAGGCTTAAGAAAATGGCCTTGGCACATCAGCCATTGGATCAAGAGGATTTTCTTGTTACTTTCTCAGATGCAGAACATTAAAATTACTCACAATTATTGAAAAGGTAACTAGATGGCCAATAGCTTAGCAAAGCTAGCTTGTATTAACGGTTTTGATTCTTATTTCAATAGTTTTGATGATTTATCTCCAGAAAATCAGAGGCTGGTTTGAGAGGATGGTTTTGGTTTTCCTTTCATATGCTGTAGATAGGTTTTATTTAATTTTCCTATCGAGACCATTAGACATAATTGTATTATATGAGCCTTTGGTCTCCTTGTATAGGTTTTTGCGAGGGGTAAGGTTTTTATGTCCCCCTCATAGGCTTTTTGTGGTTTTAATTAATAAAATTTAACAGTACCCCCCTCCAGGAGTAAAGTTTGGGGCTAAAAAAGGGACCTCTCCTAATAGCTTAAGCTTTTAGGTTGAACAGTTACTTGAGATGGTATTGGAGCCAAGTTTCGATCCTGGGACCTATGGGTTATGGTCCCACCACGCTTGCACCCCTTTGTGAAGCAAACTACCATAAAGGACCTAAAGGTTGCTCTCTCTCTGGTTGTGACTAAAGGCTGGCCTCTTTGTCAGCTTGATGTTGAGTGTGCGTTCTTACATGGTGACCATGAGGAGGTCTAATGGCTCAACCAACTGGGTACATTGATCCTTCTCAACCCAATTATGTTTGCAAGATGCATAAGTCCATCCATAGACTTTACCAAGCACCTAGGGTTTCGTATGAGAGTTTGGGTCAACTCTTGTTGCATTTGGATTTCACATTTCTGATTCGGATCCTTCTCTCTTTATCTATCATCATGGAGGCATCACTAGATTGCTCCTAATTTATGTGGACGATATCATGATTACAGGAACTAGCAGCTCCTTCATTTCGTCTCTAAATTTCTCGGTGGCTCCTTTGAAATGAAAGACACCAGGCCACTTTCCTAATTTCTTGGTGTTCACATGCATCATCATGAACATGTGAACATGGTATCTTCCTTAATCAATCCAAGTACATTATGGATCTTCTAGATCGTAGTGACATGGTTGGTTGCAAGCCCATATTTTCTCTTGGCTTAATCACTAAACTTGACATTGATGATAGTGCCCCACTATCTGATCCATCCATTTATTCTAGGCTTTGTAGCATCAATGGTGCTCTTCAATATGTAACACTTACAAGGCTTGATATCGCCTTGTCAACCAAGCTTGTCAATTCCTTTGGTCACCTATTGAGGTCCATCTCACAGTGGTGAAGCATATTCTCTGCTACTTGAAAGGATCTCTTCATCTTTTCCTTGGTCCTTCCTATTGAACTTACTGTTTATTGTGGTTCTGATTGGGCCTGTTGCCCTTTGGATTGTCACTCTAAAAATGGGTTTTGCATGTTTCTTGGGTCCAATCTTATATCTTGGTCTGCTAAGAAGCAACCCACTGTAGCTCCTTCTACTAAGGCTCAATATCGCTGCCTTGCTCATCCAGCAGTTGAGTTGTCATGGCTATGCACTCTATTCAAGGAGATTTACATTGCTATTACCTCACCACCAGTGATCTAGTAGGGTGATGTCTTTGCTATTGCTCTTACATAGAATCCACTCTTCCATGCATGCACCAAACACATTAAAGTAGACTACCGCTTTATTTGTGAGTAGGTGGTTCACAAACTGTTGGGTGTTCGGTATGTGTTGATTGCAACCAACTAATAGACTTATTCGCCAAGGGCCTCTTGCCTTCTCAACTAGCAATTCTTCTTCCCAAGCTGAATGTTGGTGCACCCCCATCCAGCTTGAAGGGGGCTGATAGAGATATGGCCCATTCACCACACACATTTAGGTTCTAGTAGAATTCCAACTCTTCATGTTACATGTTGTAGTCTGTTTTTTTTCTCCTTTCACTCATGGCAACTGTGAATATTACCTGTATATAAATACCATTTAGATCAACCCATAATACACATGTGATCATTATCTTTTCTTCAAAACTCAATTACTGTTTTATCTAACACTAGACCACTTGGTCAACAGACTCTGATACCATCTCAAGGAATCATTCAACCTAAAAGCTTAAGCTGTGAGGTGAGGTCCCTAAATAGGTTTTTATTCTCTAACAGTGGTTTTCAGAGTTAGAAGACAACGATCATATTTTGAAGACTAGGTAGCTGGGAAGAAGTTTTAGGGAAAGTAGACAGGATGCTCCTTTTGATCTTTGATTTCCAAGGAGTTCAACTGTTCAAGGGTCTTCAATTTGAACACCTTTATAGGGCTTTGAGGTCTTATTTTTTGTTACTTTTTTTTTTATTAATAACTGGAA